CCCCAAAACCCCAAAACCCCAAAACCCCAAAACCCCTAGTAAGACAAACCTGGTTGAATTTAGTCTAAAATTTGGGCCATATTCTGGGACATTTCCCTAGCTTTTCTTTCGGCTCTTCCCAGAACGCAAGTAGGACCTCCTGAGGTTATGCGCATAATTCGCAAGCTTAGATGTCTCTTCCTGCTTCCTCGTTGCTACATTGTCTTCTATGTCAAAATTTGGGATTGATTTTTTAAGCTTTTGGGAGTATTCTTTGATCTCTTTTCGAAGTCGATCACTGTTCTTCTGGAGAAGGGATGTTGAAGACTCCTTTGTCATTCTCTTCTCCTTGTCCTTCCTTAACTTCTTAGTGGAACTATACTTAACAGACTTTTTCTTCTTTGGATAGATTTTCTTATTCACATTATTTATGTTCACAAATGAATGCTTAATCTTAGGTTTGAGGTCTATAAAAATAAAGCCTGAAAGGAGAATAAGGCCTTACTGGACTCTTTCTTCAACGATTTCATGCTATTTTATCTTCTCACTCTCAGTGACCTTGGTTGTATCAGCCCATGGATCTCTTGAGAAATCAATCTCCCTTGTCTTGGAATGCTTACTTTTACTGAATATTAACACAACTAAGCGCTTACTGATGCCGTCTGGTACTTTTCGAGCGATGCTGAGACCTACTGGTATCAGTCTTTTGGTCCTTTTCAACTCTGAAGGAATAACTTTGAGCAACAGAGTCATATCCATCGGTATTTCTAAAGACTCTGTGGATCTTGCTAAAGCTCACTTTAGTGCCTTTGACAAGCTTATTTAATATACGGTCTGACGTCCTGAACCTTAGCCAGTTTATTTCAATATCGGTAGGAGTTTATCAAGTTCTCTGTCTCGAGGATCCTCGAACCAAGATGGAATTGGCAACGCGTTGGCTTTTTGGAATCTATAGCATCCAGGTGTGTTATCTATAATGATTCAATCCTTGAGCTCTCTTCCTAATTTGGACAGATCCTTCACAAAGGAGCCATCTTTGCTATCACAATGTTGTCTGAACAACATCTGAAACTGATAGTTCGTCCTATCCAGTTTGGTAATTATTGGGATTGCATATGTAGAAACTGACGCAGTAAAAATTACGACCTCATAGATTTTCTGGACTTCATCCAGAAAATCATACACCCACGGACGTGTCAGGATATATATTTTACTGAATTTGTTCTTTATTTTGACATCCAAGCATAAGTCTGGACTTTTGATTGGTCTGAACCAACTATGGATTAGGGTTTCATCGAGGTCAAGAACCTATATGTTTATTAAAGCTGTTTTTGATCAGGAAATTACCAGTGTTTTCTTCCCAACATTCTCCATAGTTTTAGGTGCCAGATACCCTCCAGTAGTCTTATCAAGAACTGGTGAGGGAAGATTGAAATCAGGAGGAGTTGAATCATTCTTGAAATTCTTTGATGGATTTGGAGGGCAACTTGGATTTGGAACTTGAGAAGCAACATCTTCAAAAGTGACTTCCGATTGCTCGCTTTTATGTGATATATCTAAATTCGACAGCAATCCTTACTATCATATCGCTTATAAACCTGTGTCTTAGAATCAGAGATTCCATTCTTTTGTGGCGCAGAGTACTTCGGATAAGTAGTCTTTACCGGCGTAACAGAGACAGTTTTATTTTCTTTATTTGTCAAGCTTCATCTGATCTTTATCAGCTATTAAGGACTTATTGCCATCATTCCTTCTCTTTTTACCTGATCTAGCAGGTATGAAATCGTACCTTAGCTTATCCCTACTCTCTTTTAGAGGGCTTTTAGAGACACGAGCAGATTTCGTACTGAAGTCTAACCTGGATTCTACAGGTTTTCTCTTAACACTTTCTCTCTCAAGATAGTACTTCTTATAGTCATCATATGAGGTGCCTTTGAAGGTCTCTTTATAGATATCTCTCTTCTCATGGGCTGATTTGAGTTCCTTATTTGATATAATAATCTATATTTCCTTTATCATAACTGCTCCTTGGGTGATTTAGGTTCTCTGCCTTCCTATAATTTTAAATCAAACAAGGTTTATTTAAATTTCACATAAATTCTAGAAGGTTCCAGCTTCCTGAGGAGCATGCTAAAGTCCCAAGAGGGCCTTGGCGAGCCCTGTTTACCTTTTAAGATCCTGAGGAGTGTAAGATATCCTAGAATTTGCTGAAACTCCTTTAATGCTGTTTGATTTTTGACTGTAATCCCTATATCGATAGGGTCTTGAGTATGTATCCCCTTTCACTCTAGATCCCTCTCTATAACAATCAAGCTATTCTAAATACTTATTATTTGCGTTCAGATAGAGGAGTGGGGGTATCTGACCCATAATGACGTCGCTTATAATAGCTATTCCAGTAAGAACTCCCATTTTTCCTTGACATTTCAATATTTTTATGAATATTTGGGGTTTTGGGGTTTTGGGGTTTTGGGGTTTTGGGG